GGTTTTCTTGACAGGTTTTTTCAGAGGAAATTTCTCATTGCCATCATCTGAGGCTGAGAGAGTGTGACTTGCCCAAGATCATGCAGTGAGTTTCCATGGCTGAGCTGCCATTTGAACCCGGGTCTCCAGAATCCTAGGTCCAAAACACACTGCAGAATAATCCAGTTTGAGACTACTTTCACCGCCCTTGCTCATTGCTAGGGAATCCTGGGAACTGTTGTTTTGTGACACATTCAGCCTTCTCTGTCAGAGAGCTCTGGTGCCACAATAAACTACAACTCCCAGGATCCCCTAGCACTGAGCCAGCGCAGTTAAAGCAGTCTCAAAGTGGGTTATTTCTGCAGTGTCTGTTTTGGACCCTGGTCCTATGTTCAAACCATTACACCACGCTTCCTTCTCCATAGTCTTATGATAAAGGATGGGGATGTGAAGAGGGTTAAGTCCGTCCTGGAGGCAATGGGGAATAAGGGTTAGAGGTGTGTGTGAGAGAGAGAGAGGGAGAAACTCAGCCCTAAAGTAAACTAGGCATATAGGTGGAATGAAAAGGAGAGCATCCCCTCCATCCCAACAAAGCCTTGGGGGGAAAAAATAGGAAGAAACTGGAAGGCTGCCCGGATGGAGAGAAGAAAAGCTCCCCCTGGGAAGTCTTGGGAAGGAGAGGCTGAATAACAAAAAAAGGCTAGGGCGCAGAAGACACCACGCGGAGGAAGGAGGCGATAGGGAGACATTTAATGAAAAGGCCTCAAAAAGGGAGATAATAAAATGGGGGAAAGGGAAGGGGTGAAATGAGGGCGCCGTTCCTCCCCGGCCTCCCCTCAAGGAATTAAAAAGAGAAACAAGGCAGCCACTACGCCACATATCAACAGAGATTTCCCCTTCACCCAGGCCCCCCGGGTGAGCATCGGTTACCTGGAAGTCCCTGTCCTCGTTGAAGCGGGAGAACCTGTCCGCCATTTTGCTTCAGCTCGCCTCTGCCTTAGTCAGGAGACTGCGACGAAGGCGGCCCCCGTGCGTCCTCTGCGTGCGCGCCCCCGATGCGCCCGTCCCCGCGGTCGGCTCTCTCATCCGGGTATTTGGCTCCCGGGCGTCGGCGCCGTTGTTATTGTTGTTCTTGACGTCGAC